TTACGTGTGATTTCACTGGCTTAGCGGTGTGCATTCTCCTTTATAAATCTGACAAAATTCTTTTGTTGATATAACAAAGAGCTTGAAAGTTTTACTGCACTTTTATTGTTGTCTAAATGTTTATTGGATTAAATTTAATAATAATTCTGGTTTAGAAATTTACCGAAGTTTTTACTATACATACATATTTTTTTTGAGGTATATTGAAATGAACTTGACACATAAAGAGGCTGTTATCATACTAGTATTTCATTTGTAGTTAGCGCAATAATGACATAGGCATTACGTGACATAGGAGTAACGTAAATTGTGTGATAAGGGGAAAAATTAAGTACGGCAGCATTACTCTTATTTAGAACAAATACAAATATTTACCCAGAATTTTGTTTAATTTATACTTTTGTGTTGTTTAAAGTATGAAATAGCATAAATTTTGAACTAAACACTTATTAGCTGTGAGCTTATGTCGGATATATTGAATATTTACAACCACATTTTTTAAAGCTTACGACTATATTAAATATATTTAATTTCCCTGCGTATATATTTAATTTAATATTTTGTCAGTTGCTTAGGCTAACCTGCAACATTTGTTTAATCAGCTATTTCCTTTTAAAAACATTCATGGAACCAACCCTCAGTTTTTGGTTATTGTTTTAATATAATATCTACATGTGGTTAGAATTGCTCCCTAAAATAATAATTTTATTATATGCAAGTATATAGAGTTAAAAAATACGTTAAACACATTTACTGCACTTAATTAGAGCATTTGGAAGTTAAAATTTTATTGCTTCGCGTACTGTACTGCACGTACTACTACGTACTTCAATAATTAAGCGAATCCATGCATGCAATATATTTAGAACGCACATGAGGTAACTATTAATAATAATAATTTTAAAGTTGAAAATCGAACTATATAATTAAACTGAAAAAAACATTTGAGACTTAATTTAAAAATTTTATCGTTGAGGTGTAATTTTTAGAAACAGTGTTTTTTCTAAAAAAAAAAATATAATAATTTGAGAAATAAATTGACAGTCGAAGGGTTCGAACAGTAATGAAAAAACAATAACAAAAATTTGATTAATTTATTGATCAAATCAAATTTTTATTGTTGTTTCTTCATTACTGTTCGAACCTTTCTAGTTTCGTTTTGTCATTTTTGACATTATAAATTTATAGTTTTTCTTATATTATATAAATTATTTTATAAAGAGATTTTTTCGAACAGTAGTGAAATAAATTATTTTATAAAATCATAGTGTATCATAATGAAGATAGTAATGTGACTACTGATACTAAATATTGCCTATAATACGTTACGAAATTATAATAAAGCACTTTTTTTTTATTCGTACATTTTTATTTCCTAAAGAAGTGTGCTTTCAGCTTGACATATTTGATTCAATGATTCTAAATATGTTGAGATCATTAGAGTAATATAATATGTTTTATACCTTATAAAAATCCTGTGTGTTATTGATAAGCTATTTTCTGCTGATAAATCTCTTTTCTATAACCCATTTCCGCACATTTAAAAACAAAACTTAGTTGTAGAAGCCTAATTCTAGCGTGTATTTTCGATGCGAAAGCAATTCATAGCACAATTGCTGAAAGCTTACTATGTTGTTGAGCTTACTATGCTAATATGCTGATGCTTTATTACTGCACTAAATTATTTTTTCTCAATCTGTCAAAGTAATCGTCTACAGATATGTAACCTTGCTAAAAATTCTTGTGATCATTTGACAGTAAACAGTTGAAAGGTGCTATTAGTTAAAAAGTGATATAATATCGCACTGTAAGCGCCCTCAGTAAAATTTGAAGTCAACTTAATGACAACTTCATAATTATTTTGCCTATTTTAACCTGAAAAAGTCTATATCTTTTATCTATTTCTATATATTGTTCACGTTCTACGGCAGTTATCGATAATATATTCATGTATACTTTTATATGCATTTACAGTAACAATCTTTAAGAGTAATTAAAATTTATAACTTTCTCAACGCAAAAACTCATAAAATATTTTGAATTGAATTATGTTCGGCGAACAATGTTGGAGCTATAAATTTAAGTTAATCTTTTTGAAAAGACATTTAATTTTTATTTTCTAGGTACATTTATGGTGTTATATGTATGTACAGTCCGAAAACCTGCCTTTTGCAGCTGTTGTCATTTATGAGTTCATTGCTTCTTAAGTGCAAGTAAATGAAGAATTTAAAAAAATGTATAAGAAATGTGTCTTTGATATCAGTTTTTCTAATATTACACATTTTAAAATTTCTAAACGTTTAAAAATTTTTTTTTTTCGAAAAAGATTAAGAACAAAAAGCAGCTTATAACACAATAGTTTTACTTTCATTGATTCTACGCCGCATATTTGCTACTTAAAAACTGAGAACCTGTTAAATGGAACGGATCATTATGAATGACTATGAAAATTTCACATCAGTCTTTCAATTATATGTGCTTAAAATCCCCTTCAAACTGTATGTTCAGGATGCATTCTTTGATGATGAAGTATAAGGATATTTTATATCAAATGTTTCTTCTTTTGTTATTATTGACATAAATATACTTACGATGACTCTCATGACATTATTTGTATATGTGAAGTTTTCGTTTATACATTTCATGTGATTAAAAATAATTTTAAAAAAGTATAACGAATTTTGTTAAAGTTCAAACTTATCTGTATATCCAGCTTAATTGCTATAGCAGCCTTAATAGTTTGTTTTTTGTTTTTATTTTTACCAAAAACCGATTAGATAATGTCAAACATCTTCAATTTGTTCCTGCAGTTTCAGCACAGAACACAGTATGCATTTATTGTGATCATTTTGGTATCCATATCGATTTATATTATTGGGACACTAATGCATTATCTATTCAATTAGATGGCAGACACAATATACTGCACGGAATATTTTCTGCTTAATGGGAGTCTCTGCTTTCTTGTTCGTGGCACAAAATGCCTGCGATCAAGGTTCTCATTTATGGTATTAAAAATTATATTTAGGCTTCGTTTGATGCGACTTGTTTGTTAATCTCAAAACAGATCGTTAATGTTATATATTGTGGTTTAGTTTATAATATAAGTATATACGAAGTTCAGATGCAACTAATGAGCTGACTTTCCCTACAATTAGGTGAAATTGTTGTTATTTTAAATACGTTTTGATCCTCCTTAATTGGGTGTTGAAATTATAACAAATTTTTAGTTTATTTCTCTATAGCATTTAATGGTGTTTTAATTACATATTGTCTGCTTAAAATAATGCTTTATCTGCTATACATGATTCTTTTTAATCATATTTGTTTATCTTGTTAAAACAGTTAATTTGGTACTCACATGTCACATTTTGATAGATTGCTAGTGTAAGAAAATTTACAATCAATCATTTTGTATAAATTAAATTGACATATTTCGACGGTTTTATTTTTATAATCATGTAATAAATATATAAACATGTTTATTACTATTTTTTAAAAACTGCATTGCGCTAAAGATGCCGAATAATTTAAATTGCATTAAATTTTTTTATTAAATATTCAAATTATACGAAATGACAAGTTTAAGCAAAAATTGTCACGAAAATTTGCTTAATTAAGAAATTTACCAAAAAAAGAAGTTTAAAACTAATCGAAATTAATTAATTTCAGCAATTTTAAACAGATTAAATGTAATTATTTATTATATATTTCGTAAATAATCTGACTTAACAATTTTCCGAAATATTATTGATTATAACGAATATAGCAATTTAAAATACTTTGCGTGGCCAGTGAGAATATTATAAAATCTATAGAAAATTTAAAGTATTTTAAAAACATCAGCAAATTGTAAAATTTTTTAAAGGTAAACTTAACTTTTTTAAACTTAGGTATATATAAACATTTATTATACTCTTCACACATAAGGTTTAAAAGAGTATATAAAACAGTTGTAAAGTGGAGAAAAACATATCGGGGTTCATAAAAAAATATAATCCTGATTCTAATAGTACATATAAATTTAAAGATGACACTAATTAATCTCAGTGTTTTAAGAAGTCCACTAAATGCGTTTTTTATAATTTTAAATATTCACACTATTAGTTGTATTAATTCTCTGTAGATGATCATCGATAATAGTGCAAATATTAGAATTTATTTACCAATTATAATATATAAACTGAACATAAAATTATAAGTATAATTATATATTTGTCGAATATAATGATTTATACATACTTGTTTATAAATTTTTTAGTAGTATACTTTTATTATGTTCTTACAAATTTTAAATATACCAATTTAGGTGTGTTATAAAAGATAAATAAAATAGTATCTAGTAATTATGTTAGAGGCCGAGCTAACAGAGAGAGACAGAGTTTGTTTATTTAATTTTATAGTAGACATAAAACAATATACGTACACATGACGTCAATAAAGTATTAGTTTAATCATCATTTTTTTTTATAAATTTATTTAAGGAAATAAATGTGTAAATTATAATTTTATTTTTAATTCCAATGATAAACTTTTTAGGTCAACATGTAACAATAAGTTTAAAAATTGTGAATTATATACAATGATAATTCATTACATATGAGTACAAGATTGTATATATTCAAAAAAGTTTTTTTACTATTTATAACTCATTAAATACACTGAATGCTCTTTGGTGACTGAATATATGACGGTTGCGTTTTTTTATATTTACTTTAATATTATAATTAAAGTATAGTATTAATATAGCAATTAAATTTTAACCATATTTTGATTTAATAAAAAAAGTAAATAAATTTATATTGACTTAATCAGTATTTGTGATATTCAGATACATTATTTTTTATATTAATTACTATTTCAAATAGTAATTAAAGTATAATCTATTACATTTAATTACATGTAATATTAAAAACGTGTTCAAGTTTTTTTAATTACTATTAATTATTATTTTGTTTTATATTTATTTCTTTGCAGTTGGTTTTCCTATATTGTGTTTCTTCTTGTTTGGAAGTGCATATAAACGTGGCTTCTTCTGCGATGATGAATCACTTAAACATCCTTTTAAAGAGTCGACGGTGCGAAATTGGATGTTATACTTTATAGGCTTAGTGTTACCCATTGGAGCGGTGAGTGTCTTGTTTTATAAAAATGTTTTGGTAATTTATAACTATAAATTAAATTTTAGTCACAACTAAAAATTTGTGATTTAGGTATCTTTTTATTGATTAAAAATTATAAATTGAATTAAAAAATGAATATTTAATTTTATTATTTAATAAATTTTTATTAATAATTTTTTGTTAATAATTTTTTAAATTTTATATACATTTTATGTGAATGTTTATTAAAGAGTCCAAATAGCTTAGAATTTATAAATAATTATGATTGTTTGTTTACTTTGATTTAGGTTTAAAATGTTATTACGTATTTTTCACAAAAAAATGATTTTATTTATTATAAATATATATACTATATTTATCAATAAAATTAAAGATATTTATATTTTAAATTGTTCACCTTATTTTATCAATAACATTGATATTGATAGCAGCAGAACAAACAAGTTCACCTTTTTCTATACTGTATCTTACGATAATATTAATTTTTTTTAAATAATATTATATCTATTATATTTATTACTGGTATATATTACAAAGTACAGCATTCATATATTTGTAATAGAATAAATTTATAAAAAGATAACATTTTAAATTCACTGATATTAAATATTCATGCCAAGGTTTAAACCACTATTCCAAAAAAGGCAAAGATAATATAAATTAATTTTGTTTCAAAAAATGATAAAGTTATTTATGTATTTTAAGTACTGAAGTGAAACTTTTTTATTGACGAAATCGTATATATATTATTGTTATACTTATAAATTTATTTTTTCGTTTTTGTCACATTTTCTACAATATCCAGTGTACAGTAATATCAGTATACAGTTTAATAGAGTATATACTGCATTCAATATACAGTATTTTTGAAAGTAGAACTCCATACGCTTACGATTTTTTTACTCAAATCATCGCGTAGATACATATAATCTACATAATAACTATATAGATATACATTCTTGAAGTAGATTATAAATAAAAACAATGTCTAGTCGTAGGGTCTTCGGTTTAAGGTGTTGTATTCATAATAATATTTGGCATAAAATTTGTAAAAAATGGGATGTCAAAAATAATATAATCCAAACATCGAACTGAGTTAATATGATGTTTATTTTACATTTTGTGTAACTGGAGTTGATTATCTTTCTAGCATTGTTATTTGATTATTTGAAAATGAAATAATATTTTACGTTAACTAATTACTTGTCAATAAAATTGTTACTTTATGAACTTTTGAATGACAGCTGTTATATATACATATGCCCTTAAGAAACCGAAAAGGGCACTTAAAAACAGAATGGTATCTAATTTGTTATGATAAAAAAATCAAGTATTTCAAAATAAATTTCATGTTTCCGTACAACTTCATGTCAATATGTAAACACATATATAAAATACAAATATTTAAATATGTTCTCCAACTACCTACAGTGTTGCCCTTAACAAAATGATATAATCTATTTTTATGAACGTATGTATATTTGTGTTAAAAAGACGCTTGGAAGTTGAAAGAGGCCTTAATAGATTTTTTATGAGGTGCTAAATTGTGCATAGGTGCATTGAGTTCTATAGTAAACTTTTGGTGCATATAACTAGAAGATGCTTCAATACTTTTAAACATATGAGATTAGAGTATGTAATTAGAGTATGTAATCCATTCTCTAACAACGCAAGTAATCCATCAAGTTTCGTAAAAGTGAGAGAAAAAACCTAATCAAACAAATTCAATTTCAGCAGTCAGTAAAACTGATGCATTGAAGCTCTAAGTGATATAAATAGTTTACTAGGTGAAATAAGTTTTATTTAAACTATTTCATATAAACTATACCAAACTGCTATATTTTGTCTGAATTCTGTATCTATACGCAGTTATTACTCCTCTGCAAGATGAAGACCTCGTTGGAGAGGATAAGACCTCTCCAAACCTTTTAGTATCTTAAGAGATAAGGCTTTTTTCACAATTATTTTCGATTATATTCTGAATGTGATTCCGTGTAGTGCAAATATTAGTAGTAATAATATAAAATTACACATGGTTATGTCTGACTTCTATATCCCTATCAAACTAAACCCTGTTTCTGCAGTAGTAAAGCAATGTAGCTTTATTAAGAGAATCACATCTAACCATTATACTTAAAATATAAAAAACTTCTTTTATGTTAAAAAAGCTATAACTTTTATAACTTATAATAATGTGTATTTTATTTGTTTTAGATAATTATTGTGGAAGTAGTGAGATCCAAACATAATGCCAAAACTTCAAATGGCAACAACATATCTCGACCCTATGTATTTATGGATTATGAAATACCAGATTGGATGGTTGAATGCTATAAGAAAATTGGAATATTTGGTTTCGGGGCAGCGGTTTGCCAAATGACTACTGATATTGCGAAATATTCCATTGGACGTTTAAGACCACATTTCTTTGCGGTGAGTTGATTTTAATTTTTTAAATCAGTTGCTATTTAACATTATTAAGTTGATATAATATTTAAGTTCACTTGATATATATTTTAATCATATTAATCATGTATCTTATTTAACAACTTTTTATTGGAGTTCATTCGAAAGACCCATATGTCGGGATATGTTTTGTTTAGTTAGGGGGTCGGAAAGTAACGCAAAAGATCAATCATGATCGTAGTGTTCTGAGGCCCGAGAGCTAATACCCCGTTAATTGCCTTTTATTTTTTTCTTTTTAAATTTTAAGATAATTTAATCAATTGTAGTTGATACCAATCATAATAAATTACATAAAACAATCAATATTTATTAATATAAAATGTAGTGCTTATAGATTTAAAGTAACTAAAATATAAAAAAGGCATGAGTTTTTTTGAAATTCACAAGTAAAATAAATAAAAATTCTTCACTTTCTTATATTAAACTCGTAAAGGCATGATAACTTAATATACTATAGGGGTCTTCATAAAATGAATTGAAAAATATAGAGTGATCTTATATACAACTTTAACAAAAGTATAAAATGTTTCATACTTCGAATATTATCGAATATTTGCATTGTGAATTAAAAACATATGTAATTTATATGTAGACTTGGCTTTATGGTTATGAAATATTTTGAAGGGCTGAAGAAAAAGATTGGCGAGTGCATTAAGATTGCTCTCATCTAAATAGAACTGCTTTAACCTTGAACCTGATTAGTAAGTTTTACTAATATTTGAAAGACATTAATATATTTTATTTCTAAATTTACTCCTTCAACATTTAGTTTAAAATAAAATTGCATTGATGCACGAAAAATGAAAGATTAAATATTTTTAATTTGTAACATGTGTCAACTTTAAATATGTGGTATCATCCCACATATTTCTAGACTGTAAGTTTCGTATTCCCTAAAGAAATCTCTAAAATGAATGCATTGATAAATTCAGAGTGAAAATATAATAAGTACAGAGTATTTCAGCATATTTTAGGCATGTAGTCTTTTTAATTGCTGCAATTACTTTTAAAATTTATGTGCCCCAAACACTTGTTTTCCCATTTTCCTATAATACATCAGAAGGGATTGACGGAGTTTCTTATCTATAGAGTGCCTATTTATATTTATTTCTGTCAATATGAAATATTCATTGAAGATACTTTTTTGTAGTCACCAGCTGTTGACTTCCCTCATAATTTCATGTAAGATTTTTTTATATAAAATTATTTTGTAAGTATGCCTAAGAGTTAGACATATCAGTCCCCCATGAAAGTATGAAATTGTGTCGCTTTTTCAATTGATCACAATGTGGCTGATTGTTGAGAGGAGCACTTGTTTATTGATGTATTTCGTAGTTTATTTTTTCCTATTGAATTATGCGTTCAAATACCCGTACTATAGGGGGGCCAAAATATTGTGCTCTTTTTGAGGCAATTATTTTATCAAATATTTTGCGTATTATGTGTCGTGCGTTTAAAAGCACATATGTTGTTGAAAAATTATTAAAATTTATAATAGCACAACATTTTTTAAAGTTTTCACATATTTACAAAATTACCAAAGAACATAAATATTAAAAACTATTATGTATTTAACTTTGGTCTGGTGATTATTCATAGTATACTTATCATTATTATTTTGCTTAGACTCAGTAAAAAAATCGTTCCCATGATATCGATTTCTATCAGCTTAATTCTACTGTACACTCGGTATAAGATTATTTATAAGAACCTTAGACCAAATACTTTTTGTAGAAGATATGAGGTTTCAAGTTTCAATAGAATCGGCAATTTAAAATTATAAAACTGAAACTTCGACAGAATAATAAACGCACCTGCTAATCTTCTTAATAAAAGAAATTTATTGTGAAATCGCATCTACCGCAAGATGGTTTGAAATCAGAAACTGACGGCAAACTGGTCCACGCTGCTAAAGTCTTAAGAGCGAATTCATGTCATTGTGCAAAACAGAAAAAAAATTGCATTTAAATTTGCAATATTGCAATGTAAACAATATGAAAAATATTTAAATGATATACAATTTTCATAAAAGATAACTTATAATTATTATTAATCATAAATCAATATTTTGAATTTTTATTGAAATAAATTCTAAATCCATACACGCCCTGAGAAAGTGACAGTATTTTTAGAAAAAAACTTGAATTTGCTTATGTTTGAAGACAAAGCTCTGAAAAATAAATATATGATAATTATAAAATAATTATAAAAATAAACTATTTAAATTAAGTAAAATAGAAAAAATAAAGTCTGCGTCTTAGTTTTGAGATCCACGACCTCTTTTTTACTTTTTAAAATTGAGGGATATACTTAACTTTGCGATGCTCAAACGGTCAATTAAAAATGCCTACAACCCTGAAATCCAAAATCCTTTGTTTAGTTTCATATATAATGCTGATATTTTCTTTCGCTACGTTATGCGATCGGTTGAAAGTTTGTAGCAAAGTATTGAAAGCGATTAATGACTACATTTGCACAAAAGTTAAGAGAACCGCTGAGTAGGTACATAGTAATAGGACAACCTTTCGCTGCTTATATTGTATTATATTGTATTCGTTTTATGTGCCGATTAGCAATAGGACAAAGGTGGTCCGACTTTGTAATGGACGGCATACAAAGAATACAAGTGCACAACTGGAATGTAAGTGACAATAAAGAAGATAGTATCGAGGGACATAGTTAACCGTGTAAAAACTCGACGACATAACAACTACAGTGAGGATTAAACAATCAATCATGATATATATTATGGTGTAGATAAAGCGCATATTGTTTTGTAAAACTACTTGATGGCGTTGCTATATGTAATGCTTCTTGTAAAATAGTATAATCAGATGCTGCATAAGCAATTTCATACTACTTTGGACCCATATTGACAACCAAATGACACATCAATCCTTACAATCCTTTCGCATTCGTTGATTGTTGTCTTTATATCATATACTTATCGACAACTATTGCTATAAACCAATTTCTCTTTTACCAATGTATTTTACTCTTTCACACGAATCTCTTCGATATCATATTTGAAGGTATAGAATTCGTTTTATTTTCCTCTCCATTTCTGGTTGTTGGCCATCCTAAACTGGTAGAACTTCACGAGACTGTAAAAATAATATCTACGGTTTGAATCTAAACAATTTATAAGGTAGACGAGAAGCTCTTTAAATGATTTGAACACATATTATTGTTAGGCTTAATCCAGTTTATTTAGGATATAATAATGCTATACTAT